ATATATTTTTTTATATGCTGAACATATTTTACTTAGAAATTAATATAGGTTATCTTAATAAAATTTTGAGTAATTTTTAATTTATTTAATTGTCCAAAATTGTCCAAAGTGTCCAAACTTACTGTCCACAACTGTCCCGTGACAATACTGATCATATGTATATTTTCTTGCTTTTGATTGGCCAGTTAAACTTTCCTTAATTGCACACCTTCTCTAAACGTAAATGCACATTACTTCCGGTCCCAAGGGCGTGCACTTAGAGGTTTTACTGTATAAAAATATCAATGCAATAAATGTTATCGTTATCGAAACGTACATTGATTGTATGCACATAATTCTTCTGGGTAGAATCCAGTACAGTGATAACTTACGTACAGGTTTTCCCTTGCCACCACACTTATAAATTATTTATTCTTTTGCTTGTTATAGTCATAATTCGGTATATAGAATTTCGATATAGAAGCGACTAAATTTAAATTTAATTGTCAAGGGAAAAACCTCTAACAACAGATAGACTGAGTCCGGTAAGCAATAAACTTAAAACCTTGATACGTAACAGGTTTTCTCTTAACGGCATCCAAGTAATATCGATATTAAGTCATTCGATATAAAAAATATTGTTGAAAGGATCGTAAACTTCAAGGATCACGTTTGCGCACATGAATGGAGTTTCAAAAGCAACTACCACTATGTATATACCTGTATATCAAATGATTAATGAACACGTCACAATACCGGGACTTTTAATTTGTACGTATGCACGTACCTAGCCACAGCGTTAGTCACAGCCACTGACGGAAATTTTTTAAAAAGGTTTATTACAATAAGGCATAAATTCAATATTTTTCATAAGCGTGTCATCCCAAGGAAAATAGGAGTGTCTTAGCTGCATTTTAGAAATGATGGATCAACTAAACAATTTAACACTCTGGGATGTTAAAGATGCCTTTAATAAGGTGTATGTAATCAGATTGAAAGGTGCAAGCGTACGTCCTTTGTGTTAAGTGCTAATAGGGAAATATTATTTAATATACTAGAAAAAATGTAGTCATGAACTACACAGAGATGGAGGCAAAGGTCCGTGAGGCAACCAATAATGAGCCTTGGGGCGCTAGTAGCACATTGATGCAAGAGATTGCCCAAGGGACATATCATTAGTGAGTAGACTGTAATCATCCTTGCTTTGTAACCTATAAAAGTTCTTTTTTGACACTGTGAAGGGATCTCTTCCATTTATTAAAGCCAAAGTTTCAATGAGATCATGACAACGATCTATAAACGGTTCACAGAAAAGGAGGCCCGACAATGGAGGCAGATATACAAGGTGAAAAGCTTTTGCTAAAATGTTTAGTCTTAAGCACATGACTTACACATCAATATTGTTAGGCTCTACAATTACTTGAATACCTCGTTAAACATGGCGCTGAAAGAGTAGTTGACGATGCTCGTGCACATATGCAAACTGTTAAGATGATGCGTAATTTCGCCTATATTGATGATAAGGGAAAAGATCAAGGTGTCAACGGTAAGTTTTTTTTTTTAAAAAAAATATACATTAGGAATTTTAGCCGATGGCTAATCTTTAATTTATATTTCAGTTCGGAATCGTGCAAGGGAACTCGCTGAATTATTAAGCGACGTCGAGAAAATCAGGCAGGAAAGAAGAAAAGCGAAAGCAAATAGAACTAAATACACAGGTGTTAGCTCAGATGCTATTGGTTATGGCTCGTCATCTCGTTACGGAGGATTTGGAAATGACACTTTTTATTATAGTAAGTATTACATAGGAGAAAGGCCATCGTAATATATATGTTACATACTGATAATGATTTACTAACTTGAACAGATGAAGATCGGACACGTTCCAGATATGATGAACCAGACTCACAATGGCAAGTCGATTATAGAGCAGATAGATCCTCTTTTAATGAAGAGAGAAGAACCAGTACTAGTGCATCTCGTCTTAGTCAATCATCCAATAAAAATATAGTTGAACCGTTGACTGCGACGACTAACTCAGATGAACCTACGACTGCAAATACTGAAGTTAATTTATTCGATTTTGATGATACTCCAACTACTAATACTAATCCTACACTCCAGAATGATTTTGGCGCGATGCAAACAGCATTTATTGGTATTAATTTTATTACCCAGTTGAATGATATTTCACTTTGCAAATTGTTATTATAATATTTTGTGTATATTTTATACATATTTGAAATTAGACGATGATTTTCAAGATTTTCAAAGTGCTCCACTCACAACTTCTTCACAAAGATCTTCTATCTCAATGAATTCATCGAATTTGACCGGACTTCAGTTTACTTCAGTACCAAAACCAAATACACAGCCTATTAATAATGTCAATGTGCCAAAAAACAATGCAAATGTACCTCAAGCTAACAATAATTTACTTGACGACTTACTTGGTCCTGTTTCACCAGTTACCACAACACCAAGCACAGGTTTACCTATGATAACTCCGACCAACTCTATCACCAACTCTGCTAATCAGACTCATTCAACATCTACCCTTAATTCCAAGCCAACTTCACCAACAACCCCAAAACAGGTACGTGTGAAATTTTAAAAGGCTGACTGTAAACTTAGCATAATTAAATTAATATTAATTAAATTAATATTTATTTTATAATTACATTTTCCAGAATTCCACAAATACAACTTCATTTCCTGCTCTGAAATCGAATGATATTTGGGCGCAAGCATCAAATTTAGTAAGTTTAGATTCTTTGGGAAAGGAATCCAAAACGACGAAGCAACCTGCAAAACCATCTATGAATTCTCTTGCACAAGCCAATTCTTCATCATGGGCAGTTAAAGGAACTTGGACTGGTGCACAGCCTTTGCAGCAGAATTCTACGAACGGGTCCCAGAAACGTTATGATCCGTTTGATTCGTTACTGTAATTGAGATTTTTAATATAGAATAATTTTTCACCATAAAAAAATTACGTGTCTTTCATTATATACTAAAAAGATATTTACATGCAGGTTTTATGTAATCGAAATAGATTTGCGTTTTTATATGTTTATTTTTTTATACTATATATATACAAAAAAATATAAACAAAAATTATATAGTCTTTATAATATTCGTTTACGTTAATTGGATAATTAAAAAAAGAATGAATAATCTTAAAATGAATAAATAGTTTAGGATATAGGATCATATCCAATGATTAAAACCTGAGGATTTATACTTTCTTGATGAGTGGTTCTAATTATTCAGAATCGGAATCATTAGGAACGTTACTACCTTCATTTCGTATTATTTACCATCCAAAATAGGGTATGTATTTCGCATACGTACGTATCTATTACGTACCACTTTTATGAAATTTTGAAATTGTTACGCATCTTGCTAAATTTTAAATTTTACCGTTACTATTTCCAGTAATTTGTAAAAAGTCATGGATAGAAATAAAATATTAATGATGTAATTAATATGTTATGTTAAATGTATCAAAAGAAAATACAAATAAAGAACCTGGAAAATTTGGATTTTATTTATATAGGATTTGAAATTCATACGTATAAACTAGCTACTACTATGTACATATAAGCTTTTTTTTGGAATTGTACCAAAATATAGTTACTGTTTTATTAGTATGTTTTAGTATATTTTATTATATGTATGAAAAAAAATAATACGTACTATATAAAAAGAAAAAATATTATAATAATAATATATATATAGTTAGATATAAAAAATTGCTAATTTTCACCGGGAGGTGGGTGCTATATCTCAAAAACGTACTAGCAAAGCATAAATGTTTAGAATCCTCAAAACCTTACGCTAACTAAAATTGGGATCCTAATATCTAACCCTAAGCTTCGTCTAAAATTACACCCTAACTTTAAATTTTAATAATAGTTAAGGGAATAAATTCACCTTCGATTAAATATAGTTATTTTCAAATAAAAAAGTGTTTTTATCAAAAAGGCTATAAAACAAGCACTTTTTAAAACAAACTAGACCAATACAAAAATACTAAAACTAAAAGAAATAAAAAAATTCTTTATAACAAGAAGATTTTGATTACAATATATAAAATATTTAATATACAAGTGTTCCGAAGTTCAGTTCAGTTCAATTTAGGTTCAAGTTCAATTGAACTTTAAATTTTGCAGATCTTTGAACTTGAACCTGAACTGAACTTTAAATTTATGAACTTGAACTGAACCTGAACTCAAAGTTTTGGTTCAGT